AAAAAAAAAAAAAAAAAAAGAAAAAAGAATGTAAGGTAGAAGCCAGGTGGTGGCGCACGCCTTTAATCCCAGCACTTGGGAGGCAGAGGCAGGCGGATCTCTGTGAGTTCGAGGCCAGCCTGGTCTACAAGAGCTAGTTCCAGGATCTCTTAACACTCGGAACAAGCGTCTCATTGGAGTTCCGCGGTAGAGGTGCAGGCTCAGAGCTGCGGTCTGTCCTCGCAGCCGGGAAAGTGGTCCTCGGTCCGAAACAGAACTGGCGGCTCGTAGATGGCGCGCTGGGGCCCGGTGGGTGTCGACTTGAAGAGAGCGGGAACGCTGATGATGTGCAGCAAAGATCCTGTTAACTGGTGTATATGTTGTCAGGATGTGAACTGTTGAAAGTTTATTTTCTGCAAACGACTTGATACCGTCACTATTCAATGTCGTGGGTATAGATACCCGTGTCTTCCAGTTATGACCCAAAAGTTGTTTGGTGGGGGGCTGGGAAAGCCAACTGAATTTACCTGTGCAATATGGCAGAGCTGTTATTTTTATGGCCTTTATTATTAGAGTTACCAGTGTTACCTTGTTAAGATTTATATATTTATATGATCAAAAGTGACCAAGAAATTAAAGCTGTATTCTTAAATCCTAACAGCGAGTGGTTCAGTTTTCTGTAGCCTTCTAGGATAGATGGCCGGTTATTTAGTATCATATTCAGCTTTGCAGATTGTAAACCAAAGGAGATAAAACAGTTTCTCAAGATAACAATAACTGGGCGTTTTGTTGCAGCGAGTTTTGAAATTGTATTTGATAGTATGATTCAAAGGCTTAGTTTATCATAGCAAGCATATTAATGTATGGTTATCAGTGTTGATTTATAGCACATTAACTCAAATGTTAGATTTCATTGAAAGAGATTTCCTTCTGGAAATTATTTAGTGTATTTTCTGTTTTGTTTGTAAATAAGCCTGTCATTTATGTTTTGAGTAGTGGAGTAAGAATAGGCAACTTCTTTATTCAAAAAAAAAAGAGCTAGTTC